AGTAGTGTGTGTGTGTGTGTGTGTGTGTGTGTGTGTGTATGCACTTGTATATTTGTATATATATACAACATATAGGTACGTGCATACATATACATACGTACATGCACACATAAGCATATATATATATATATATATATATAGTTGATATGTGTTCATTGTTACATACTTATGCAAGTAATTTGAGTATCGTGAGAACATACATGTATACATGAAAACACATGCTTTCAGCCTAAAAGAAAGCTATCTATTACTAAGCATTGGGGGGTTTTTTTTTGAGGCTCCAGATTGACTAGGGGTGACCTATATACGAACGCTGAACTTATTATAAATATCGAAGCCAGCTCATCTGATTCACAATCATGCACAAATATATCGTGGAGAGCAATCCGTGGGAAAAAGTTCACTCCTTTCTCATTTAGTGTATTGTGCTGCTACAACCAGTTTCCACTTTGAGTCATAAAGGAAGTAAGTTCTCACATACAACAGTGTGATTCTTACTATCGTTCTGACTAATGTTATTAGGAGAGATCGGCTGTATATTCAAAAGTGAGCTGATGATATTTGACATATTTTATTAGCAAACACACACACTATGTTCCGTACCCGGGAAATACTTCTTACTCGATTAACATACTTGAAAACCCTGACGCAACGGATGGTAGCCAGAGACGAGGTCTCCAATTAGTGATCAAGGATGCGCATGTTTCCGGACACAACCTTGTTTTCAAAGACCGCACCAGATGGGATATCAATCCTGTCTCCGTGGTTGGCCACTATGATCACGGTACCCCTAAGCACCACTTTCTTGCCAAATGTGACATCTCCTGTCACAGTGAGATGGTTCAGCTCCACAATATCGGGAATTCCGGACATACGGCCCAAAAACTCATGCACCTTCTTGAAGTGGCCGTCTCCAAGCTTGACCAAGGGTACGGTGGGGAAGGGCCTGGCTGGGTTCATAACTAGCGTACCGTGTTGAATGGTGTATAGGTTTGATTTCACGACGAATAGATCCGAGCACGTCTTTACGGGCAAGAAGCGTGATCGGGGCACAGTGATACCGCACGCGTTCTTGAAATGCTTGATACCCGCGCCGACGGCCTGTTCGAGTTGGATCACCTTGGTGCCGTCGCTCATTGACTGGTAATGAGAAGGAAATAAAATAAGATGATTAGGAAAGTGCTGAGCGGAATTGGTGGGGGGACTAACGAGACATATGCAATAACTGTGACAAGTACAGAGCGCCTACTGGACCGATGTTCAACAAGCGAGTTCGGATATAAATCTCAGCCCAGAGAGGAGGAGAATATGCAATCACCAAATACTACAAACAACACCCAAAACGTATATAAAGTGAAACGATACGACGACACTTCGCCTACCTTGATGTTCTCAATGATCTCCATGCTCAGTTCCTTCTGTACCACAACGCGGTCGACAGCTTCCAACTTCATCCACAAATTATTGGTATTGAAAATGCGGAACTTCTTGATAGATTTGAACTCTTCCACGTGGTCCTTGGCCACCTGCGCAATCTCCAACAGACGGCACTGCCCCTCGTAAGAGATCAGGGTACCACCCTTGACATCAGCCTGTGTCTTGGGGGTAACCTCCATCGCAAACTCGGCATCAGAGTTGGAAAAGTGTTGCAGGATAGTAATGTCCACGGTGGCACCCAAATTATCGATATTTGACATGAACATCACTTCCTTGCCCTTAGCCAGAAGACCGTCCAGCACACCAGACTCCTTCATCGAGTCGTATACGTCACCGTGACCAGGGGGGTACCAGTTGCTATTGCCACCATCATACTGATCGGTGACAGGCAGCAGAGACTCCTTGTTAATACGTGGGAAACGCGACTGGTTGAACGTTAAGATGGTCACGTTGGAGGCCGAGTACTTCTGGATGATCTTATCGGTATCGTCGTGCGTGTTGAAGGAGTTCATAAGGATTAAGGGCACCTCACAGCCATATGTCTCGTTGAGCCATTCCACTTGACGCACTGTCAAGTCCAGGAAGGTCATATCGTCACGCACCTCGATCACTGACTTGGGACCGGTGCAACCCATAGTGGTTCCCAGACCTCCATTGAGTTTGACTACTACGAGCTTGTCTAGCAAGTCGGCGATGGCGTCCTCGGGTACACTGGCCAGACTCTCGTATAACTGGACCTGTTAGTAGAGTATGAGATATCAGCATACTATATCCCGATGTGTGCGTAGTGTAAAAAAAAATCGGTATTCGGAACGCTGTTTTTCGACAATGTGGAACAGGCACATGGAATGCGCGCCGGTTGAATCAACGAAAAATCACAAAAACGATAATGAAAGGCTCCCAGACACCACCAAATTATGCCTCTCATCAAACAATATGTATACATTACAGCTGTGTACTTAGGGTGCTCCACTGTCAATAATGTCCCGTTAATCTCTCTGTCTCTATCTACCACCGCAACCAAGCCACGGTTTCGTATTCAAATATAAATTAACCGAGCTGTGCTAATGAATGAACAGTGAAATCACACACACTGGACTTCTGAACCTTAAACAATACAACATATTTTAAATACACCTTATATCACTTACCATGCCGGGAGGGGGTGGCTCAATCTTGTCCCAGTGGATGCGATCTTGCTCAGCGTTGCCCAAGTATCGTCCAAACAGCTCAGAGAAGCGGTTCATGTGTTGCTGCGCCGCGGGTACATCAGCGGCAGTCAGGGCCAACTCCTTGAGTGACTTGTCTAGTGCGCTCTTTGCCGTAGACATCTGTAGTTCCTTGAAAGAGGATAGCGAGTTCTCGCGAACGGGTCCTGGGGGTCGTTGAGCCATCTTGTTCGATTTGAGTTGTTTTGTGTGTGTGTTCGGTGTGTGAAATATAGACTATATGCGTGGCGAAAAAAATATTTCTCAACCTTTTATTTACACAGTGAATATGTGTAGACTTGATACAAATGTACCAGTGTAGTTGTTATTACACAGTTATTTAAATATTATCCACTGTGTAGGGTGGAGTGTATACTATCGTCATTCATCCGGCCTCTCTATCGGTCTATCCAACACACACTCTTCTCTTGTCCGTCATTGTTTCTCGTCGAGTTGTACTTCGTCTGTGTTGTTTTGATATTTTCGGACGTATGAAACGATCAAAAAAAGGCAATTGTATCTGTGATATGATTGGCTAATACGCCGATTGAACTCTGCGCTACTCTGATTAACTGTCCCAGGCAGACCCGGCTTGTTGTTTGATGACCGGGACGGCCCTCTGGCCTCTCTGGGGAGTGGGGACTGGGGATCGGGGAATACTGATTAGGCCATCAGTGATTAGGGTCTCGAGCAGAACTCAGGTCGACTAGCGGAAATCGTAAATTATTTATAGCAGACTCTATAGTCTATTGTAGTCCTGATCCTGAGGGCCGTGTTTATGACACTTGCGTCTTGGCTCAAGTCATTACTCATGTATGGAAATACATATTTACATAAATATCAAGTAGACAGTATTGTTGACTGTTATTAGGGTAGAGTATGGGCTACATATGCCGCACTGGCCTATGGATCATACGTTTATTTTTTTTCTCGGTTTTGTAATATTTTTTATATAAAAATACCCTGCAACAGACTTATTTCCATAGATAACATGGGATATATGGTACACACGTATGTATGTTTATGTAAATAAATAAAAGTTAAATGCAAACGTTTTTTGGTTAACGTAAAACGTTCTGAGATGTTGCCCCGCAATCAGTCGGAAACTCCGAATCAGTAAATCAGTTTGCTCACCCGGGGACCCGAAGTCCCGAACATTCGAACACGGCATAATTGGTTTTTAGGGTTCATTGAGTTCCTTGGGTATTGGGTATTGGGTATTTATGCACCAACCTTCTGAAAATGTTCTTTTTTTTTAGGAAGCGATGCCTCTGATTGAGATCAAGTCTCAGACTCTCAGACTCAGAGACGAACAATACAGGTGCTGCGCACCGCTTATTTTAATGTGGTCAACGGCTCTCTATGTGCAATTGTTAATGTTTGACGAAGACAAATCCTTGGTCTATCAATGGTAAAGTACACCTTAATGTGCCTTTTTGACACACAGTTAGCAGACACAATTGATTGATGATGCCCGGCAACAATATGACGAAGGCAAAAGTTGACGCAATAGCAGCTAGTATATTATCGGGCAGGATACGAAATATCATGATATTATCTGGAGCCGGGGTATGTTACTGGTGTTGTGTATGTATCTACTGGTAGAGATACTTCAATGTTGCAGCTGTTTGATAATATCGATGTCTTCGTATCTGGCAAACAGTGTCGCATTCACAAGGACGAAAGATTAAAACGCGACTTTACTGTATACATACCGGTGTGAACTGGCTTAAAGATACCAATTGTGTATTGGAATCCAACTCAGTTGGATTCGTTCACCCTGCCTTAAGAATTATGAACACTTTACATACGTTCAAATATCGCGAGCACATACGTCCAAGTTTTTACTAATTCTATATGTATACGATTAGTGACTGGTATGAACATGACGACGATTAGTGACTGGTATGATCATGACGGTTTGTTCCTACTACATTCTATGGGAGTTTGCTGAATAAGCCGTGAAAATAGCCTGTATTCAACACTTTGGAATCTCGATTTAGTAGAACATCAAGTCATCCATGGTCTGATATAATACGTATAGGTGAGCACTGCATCCGGCATCCCAGACTTCAGAAGTGTGGGTGGAATGTACGACACCCTCAAGCCCAACCTACTGACAGCCACCGAAGAGCAGGTAGCGTGAAGTTTACAGCTAGACGAAACCTTATACGAAGATTTAAATCCACATTTCTAAACACAACGTCTTAAAATCAATAGCGTCGATCACATAACAATGTATACAACACGATGTGCTCGTGAGCATACGGTTTGCTGGACAAACTCGTAGAAGCACACTGCGATGCACATATACATGCCCTAGTTAATTGCAACCGCGTATAGTTATGCCACGATGGTGAGCTCTCTTGTCAGATGCTTGCGACCCCACATACCCATACGACTTCACAAGTGAACAATCCGCGTTTTCAAGAAAATGACGTCCAAGCCAGTAAACATTCGAAGAATTCTCTTAGTAGCTGTCTCTCATTCTCCGACGAGTATTCTAGAAAAACTACACAGTTAAGCAATATTTTTCAATACTTATCTGCAATCATTATGTAGACAAGCGATAGCAAACGTTCGAACAATCTTCTAAACACAGTTACTAAGTTCTTGTTTATTTTTTACAATCATTGCAGAGACAAGCGATGAGAATTGACCCGATACACGTGGTGAGCTTAGACTTGTTCCGGGAAACACAGCTGCCATACCTAGAACTGCGTCGACCATTCATACTGGGTCTAGGGGGCAACCAATGGAGACCCACATTGATGCATTTCCTGTCCGATGTGCTGCACAAGAAAGGGCTGCTGACGCGCGTGTATACACAAAATATTGGTAAGTTTTCCTGCCAGTGTGGAGTGAACGTTCCCACTGTTTACGTGGTTAAGCCGAGAATACACAGTGCTTCAGGGAATGATCCCTGTGGTTTGTGACTGTATGCATGTACATACATGTAAGGTTGGTATTACGAATTCCTCCAGCCGGCTTCGCCGCTGGCATGTGTAGAGCATCTTACTACATACCTGAGTACAGTGAAAACTCTAGAAGGAGTTTAAATGCCCTCAGTATGCTACTGGTTCTGAATTTATATGAATTTATGTTGAATTTTTGTGAATTTTTGTGAGTGTGTGTGCTGATGAGGGACCCTTTGTGTACTGCAGATGGACTAGACTTCAAGACCAGTGTGCCGCCCAAGAAGATCATCCCGGTGCACGGGTCTCTGATGGTTATCAAATGCGAAAGCTGCAAAACCGAAATGGACAGTGCCAAATTCCGTGAGTTGGTAGGTTCACTACGCATGCAGTTGGAAGTCATAGCTAAGTTGTATGTGTAGAAGCGCACTTTTCTCAAGTTAATAGTGGACAGTGCGAGTGTTTGTGGTGCGTTGTGACTGAGCAAAGCCGATGTAAACCACTCGCGTGATCACACATACTGCAGAGCAGCTGGGTCGTGTTACTATCATCGGATCTGGTTGGATTTGATATTGATCGTGGGCAATGCTGGCATCTTCGGTCCTGACAGATTCTTGATGAATCACTAATACGAAAATTCATACGACTGGCAGACACGGACTCATATCAAAGACATATACAATAGTGGTGATGACTTGGCCCCGAAAAAATCGAGCCCTATACCTTGTCCGTCTTGCGGAAAGCCGTATATGAAACCCGACACAGTACTATACGGGAGCAGGTAAGTAGAAGGTGTGTATTTTAGCGTTGTAACGAAAGGTTAAAGTGGTACGAATATTTGGACTGGAAGCGGTGGTATACCTGAGTTCAATTTACGAAGTATTTTACGGTTAAATTGTTGCTAATAGGGTTATTACCTCTGAAACGATTCGTAATTTGTGTCTTTTCAACCGGTGACCCCGGTAAGACAGGCGCAGAGCATGCTGCTAGATAAGATATCGAACCAATTACAGAGGTTGGTTTGGCAAATCTGCATTCGAGCATGCTTCCTAGCGCCGGGCACACTTCATATAGTATCTTTGTTTTGCGAATACATAAACGCGGATGTGTACAATGAGTGCAAGCTCCAGCCGCCAAAGCCGTATTTCAAAGCTAACCAATGTGACAAAATAGGGGTTCTCTGTATATTTGCACGCCACTGACATACAGTTCCTATGTTTCAGTTTGCCGCGCGAGTTCTTCATGCACTGGGAGCTAGATGCACAGTCGAGTGATCTACTCATCATTGCTGGCACGAGTCTGACAGTTGGTCCAGCAAATCGGTTACCAGGGCTTATACGAAACAGCGTGCCCCGCTTAGTGCTGAACAATGAAGAGGTGGGCATGGGTCTGGGTCTCAACTATGCGCCAAACTCGACCGATACCCTTCTGAAAGGATCGTGTGATAGGTAGGTGTGCTTTTCTGTGTTAGTTATATTTGCGTTCGCCTACTTTGTATCAAGTGGAAACTGTTGGGCGTGTGCGTGGCACGTACATATCGATTGTACGCCATTTTTTTTTTAGTTGAATCGATAATGAATAGAACCTGCATGCCAGATTGTTGCTATGCGCCACGTTTTCTGATGCATATGTCAACTTATGTGGAAGACCATTGTGTAATGTGGTATCATTATATTTATATTCACTCATCAAGTCAGACATAGTCTTGCGGTAAATAAGTGGGTGAGGGGGCACGTACAGACCACGTACGCCCCGAGGAAGTCCAGTATTGCAACTATTTGAGTTCATCTATATCGAGCATACATTCAGTGTTCTAGGAGTTTATTTTACCCGAATGAACTCTGCGCATGTCTGAATGATTGTACCTGTGATGTACATATACGACCTTTCTGTTTAGCTGAAGGAGAATATCAACAGTGCATGTCTTCTACGGAGCGTTCTCGAGTTTGCAAGTCTTATCACATCCTAAACCGTCATGCCACAGTGAGAAAGTTACAGCGCTCCTATACAGTCAGTGGCACGGATAGCGCCCAGTTCATGCACTCAATTTTGTAATTAATCCATGAATTAATGATTGTTTTGTTTCAAATAGTGGGTGTATAGCTCTTCTGCAAGCGCTGGGCTGGTTGGAGAATATGGCCGTGTACGAGTCGGAATTATGCGACGAAAGTGCCAAGCTGTTGCGCAGCCACTTGAATGCTGAAGTGAGATGAAGTTTATAATTTATAAAGTTTTTATTTCACCATATAAATCGTAGTTTGAATTCTCTGGAAACCTGACTAGCAGCAGATTGATGCAAGTACAATTACGTCTGTATGTGTTTACATAGAAAAGAGTCGTTTATCGCCTCAAGTTACTTTAGTACTCTATACTTACCGGAGAGGAGATAAAAAAGAATAGTGACATAGACACGGATGCAGCCACATAGAGCGCATGTTTATATGATTAACTATGCATGAATATCCCAAGTGTTGGCCCGGGTATAACTGATACTGTGTTAAAACTAAGTACCTCTCACTTTTACTCGACATTCCAGCTGACTATTCGTGTAGATTTACCATACTTTGTGCAACTACATCAACAGAACTTAATTACATGCATATGTATAATCGTGGACATGTCTAGAATTTCCCATATATGTACGTTTTTGATCCGGCGTTTACAATCATATTCAGGTGTGAAAGTTTTGCTTCTGCAATTAGGATTCTCGATGTAAATCTTACCATACGGATGTACCGATGTTGAGATACAATTCGTAGGACTGATTCGTTATTGCGGGATACACGACTTTGAGGGTGAATTAGTTGATTGAGATATCGTACCTTGGTGTGAACAGAAGCAATTAGTGTAGTTAGATAAAACAGTCTACGAAAATAGATATGTATAATGCAGAGAAAAGCCCTTGACGCATCCGTCTCGCCCGGGCGTTGCAGTATTTGTATGTATATTTATAATACACCTGGATATGTATTGTGAATATATTAAAGTACTGTGTGTATTGTATACATATGTGTATGGAGATTTCCTTCATGTCATCGTACACAACACGAGTGCATCTGCATCTAAATAGTATATCATCATGTATCCAAATAATGTGTCATGAACTCCTGGGCACGCTTACAGATATCTTCAGTCATTATATTGCACGCATGTTTTAACAGCAAATGGAACTCCTTAACATGTGATTGTACACATGTTCGATGTATATGCAATTTATTCCATTTGATTTTCCAGAGGCCCCAGATGTAGACTGTCGGACCTAAAACAATCTTTACATTATAGCGTAGGGTAAGGGTTACCGTTGCACATCACTCAGTCACGCAACGCGATACAACACTGCGCGCCCACTAGGGATATTTAGCAACAGGTGTCTTCATAGGCCAATGCTTGTAGGTTAGCCGCGGTTGTATACCTTTATTTTTCTTCAAATATATGCATGTTAAGGCAGTCCGGGATGCACAGGCAGGCGAACCCGTAGAAATAAACTAATTGGCGTCTGAAAAAGATGCAACTACTTGAAATCTCGAGATGACTTGATGAGATTTCACTTGCGTATCGCGATTCAACTGGTGACAACATCGCACCTCAGAAAACCTCGGAACCCAATTCGTACTCAATGTATTGCTATCGGCTCATTTTCAGCACACGGATTGTCTCTTCGACATACTGCATATTTACGATTCAAGACACAATACAAATTCAAATCCAAATATTCATGTTTTCTTTTTGGACTACAGAATACAGTAAGTACTTCACACCTCATAATCCACGCCGAGTTGCTGTGCATGTATAGCAACCAAATCTATTCTGTTGCGAAATTCGAGCCCACAAACAAACTGCTTGAACCATCATTGGGTCTTACTGGATTTTGTTGACTATTTATTCCGGGGCGAGCGCCGCCGCCGCCGCCGCCTAGTAAACATCACGTGGACGCTACCAACAACCTTCCATGTACAAGCCCTGAGATGCACTGCACCTAGTCTGAGCTGTCTCCGCCCTTCTTACGCTTCTTCTTACTATCCTTGCCGTCCCTTCTAAGCCCTCTCTCCTTGCATACAATCCTCACTCCATCGGCGTCCAACCCCAGAACCTCCAATGCATCCCCTCTCTCGCGCTGTCTTCGCACTCGGCGCTCGTGCCGGTCCATGCACACATCACAGTCTCGCACACACCGCTCACACATACAGCAGTCGCGTGAACTCGAGCTTCTACGTTTCTTACTTCCCTTTTTACTTCTGCGTCCACCCGAACCCTCTATCTTTGCACGGGCCAAATCGCGATTGTCCTCGCTGCCGTTGCCACGTTTAGGACTGTTGTTGGTGCTTGTTTCCATGGCAATGTCGCTGTCACTCTCAGAACTACTCGAGCTACTAGACGAACTACTGCTACTGCTACTGGAACTACTCGAGTACTCGCCTGCGTACATACCATTCTCTACATCCATCCTTGTCTGGTTAGCAATCGCCGCCAAATCCGGGGCTACCTTTCGGAGGGTATCTAACATTTTGACACTCATCTTGACCCTGCCTTTCATCACCTTCCGCCAGACCAGCGGGAAGTTGGTTCTCGAGGCGAAGTTCTGCGTAATTGCTACTGTCTCATCACAGTTCAAAACTACGTGCCACCACAGCCCAGGCACAAACATAGTCTCTCCGGGTCTCTGTAGGACCTCTATCGGTCTTGGTCCCTTATAATCGGGCCGGAAAAACGTAGGATATATATGGTTGAACCAGCTGATAGCTTCTGACTCCACACCCTTCGGGCACTTCACCATTTCGGCAGATGTTCCCGGTGGGAATAGTATCCATCTCTTATGGCCACTCACCAAGGTATTCCATGCACTCGTTCCCAGAGGGTCAATATGTATACCAGACCCCGATCTCTCGGGACCCATCACGAGCCATCGGTATGGAGGCCTTCTGCGCTCCCCTGCATGCTGCAGCAAATCGTCTGTGAAAAATGGATGCACCTCATAATCGCGCAGCATGGACTGTTTCTCTTTCTTGTCGCCCAATGAACTGTCAAAACAGTACAGAGGCGAATCGTCGCTCTGGTTGCGCGCGTACTCAATGAAGTACTTCATGCGCATCTTGACCGGATACCCGTCGTCATCTGTGCCCACTTTGAATTTAACGTCACCGTAATCTTTTGCCAACTGCTTCCATGTCCAGTTCTTTACTGCCGGCCAGCCCTCTGTCGTATTGACCACCACACATGGTGTTCCTCGCCCAGACTCAAACCGCTCCGCAAACATCTGCGGTGTCACATGCTTAGCATCAACCCTTGCTATATCCGTATCTCTCGACATACTCTGTTCTATACTCGTGAGGTTCTTCGCATACTTGAACCCGTGCCTACTCCACTGACTCGGCTTGATTTCAGTACGACACTTCTTCTTCGCCCTGGCGGCTGTTCGCAAACTGTAGTTGCAGAAGTCTGACAAATTGGGATTGTCGACGTATGTCTCCCTGGTTGAATCACTTTTCGAGTTACCTCGGTTGAACTTCTCGGGCAGAGGATCAATTATTGGTGGTGTTGGCATGACGGCTTAATATTGTAGGACTCGCTATGCGTGACTAATGTATTGTCTGGTTCGTGTGAGTGTGCACTTGTTCGTAAGTACGTATTCATACAATAGGGATAGCTTGTTTTGTAATCACATCATGCATTTGTGGGCTGTAGCCCGATACTTGGTGTAGAAAAAATTGGCGGCACGTGTATTTTTTAATTCGTGGAATTTCCATTTATTTATTTTAGAGCGTCTCGACTCTCATCAACTTCCAAGTCTCAACTCGCCTGTTGCGACAGTACATATATGTATCTCTTGTTGTACTTAGCGCGATAGTATTTAGATTCTCTCTGAAATACATATATACGTAAAAAAGTAATGAGTGAAGCTCCACCCACCTACTCTTTAGTAGTGCTGGATTCGCAATTTTGCCTGCACAGTGACTGCATTATCAACGGGAGCTTCAGTCGGGCCACTTCAAACGCTGCGGTACCTTCGCCGAAGAATCTATTTTGCGGTATAGCTTTGTTAACATCCCGTAGTGCCGTTTATTATAGATATACACTTGTACTTTACCTGGAAATAAATTTTGTAAATGACAGTATAGAAGTGAGAACATTCAATACTCAAGAATTCTACACTACAGAGTATCAAACTAATATATCTACGATTTGGATGTTAATTATCATTGTTGATAAATCGTCATTGCGGATGTCGACTGCGCTGTTTTCTTTTACTACCTTTGCTTTCGTTGTCGGTGTCTGGCCGTCTGGGTATTGTGTTCTCTATGCTTGTATCAGTTGTAAATATGTAAATATTTCTTTCAGTATTGTAGTTGGAGAATTCATGATTTAAATAATAGATTTCAGACAGTCTGTTCTTCGGCACAAATCACAATACAATCCTTTTCTGATTGGGGTTTCCGATTGCCGTGGGCAACATTTCTGAGCGGAAAAAAATAAAAATGAACACAAAATTGAAAAAAAAGTTTGGAAAATTCAGATGAGAGCAGCCAAAGACTCTCGCAGACAGACAAGAGGTTTGTTGTGTATTTACTATTCAATACACTTCATTATCTATAAATATAAATAGATAGATGAAGAAGCATAGCTGTGAGGCGAGTGCTGCATACAAACGGAGCACTACCGCAACCACGGCAACATGAGCACCGTACGACAGCGTAAGGGGAAAGAACCGGCGGAGAAGGAGGTAATTGTCGAAGCTAAAGTAGTCACGAAAGAGGACCTGGTGTACCTGAACGATGAGGATATACGCGATTTAGACGGCACTGATGTGGTTATAGCGGCTGTGTTTACTGTCCTAGGAATTTTGACCCGCTTCTGGCGCATTTCTGAGCCTGGAGAAGTAGTGTTCGACGAGGTAAGTAGCGAGTGAGATTCTTGTGTTCTTCCTGCTTCCGAGGTAAAGTTGATTGTGAAGCCATTGTACAGCTATTGTACTGTATTATCTCTTTTTGTTTGGTGTTGTAGCTGAGACCTTCAGCAATGTGCAGTAGACACTGCCAGCTTGATACTTAATTTATGATAAAACATAAATCTGCACCACTAGCGTTCCCGCGTCCTATAGTCGTAATCTTGTGTAGCATACGGTTGTTTTGCCCTGTGAGTCGATATCCCATATGAGCATATCTTCTGTGGCTGCGGGTGTTGTCCAAATTTCTATGGCGAGCGTTGAGTGGTTCTCAAAAACATATATAAGCCAATTGTATATCTTATGTCACCTTTCTTTGAAGATGTATTTAGTCACATATATGAGGAATATGAATCACACACGGATGAATATCGTGCTTGGCTGCTTGGTCCTTTTAATTCTCGTATAAGTGCATTGGTGCATAGTGGAATGCTTACCCTATATAATATAAATCCTCAACAGGTACATTTCTTAGGATTTGCTCTCAATTATGTAAATAGAGAGTACTTCTTTGACATCCATCCACCACTGGGCAAGTTCATTTTGGCAGCCACCACGTACTTCACCGGCTTTGACCGCGACTTCAAGGCCGATGAGATCGGTCGTAAATATGCAGACAGGCCATTTGTGCCAATCCGAGCCACCCACGCTGCCTTTTCAGGTAATGCCGACTGATTTATTATGCTATATATATATATATATATATATATATATATATATATTATTATTATTATTATTATTATTATTATTATATATATATATATATATATTATATATATATATATATATATATATATATATATATATATATAGTAGTA